TTCTCCTCAAGCGTGGGCCCTCGCTCCTCGTCCTCCTTGTTGTCGCGCGAGCACATCCCATGTAGCTTGCACAGGACATAACGGCGCCTGCACGGTCGTTGTCGGGGCAAGTGTGGGTCAACTCTTCTTGCCACTTGATGCAAATGAGTTGGGTGCGTCGCAGGGTAATTTTCACCTGCTGCGCTTATTTCGCGCAGCCCCCAGGGCATGGGAAGAGAGGACGGATGGAAGGAAGGGGCAAGGGGAAGGAGGAGGACGGAGCACGAGAGAGAGAGAGAGAGTAGCAGGAGTGAGGCCAGAAGCAGAAAGCACCTGGCAGAACCAGACGGGCAGATTGGGCCGGTAGACCCTAATGGGCGGGTCGGGAAGGCGGGCCCTGGCGGCCAGGTCGAGCAGGCGGGTTGGTAAAGAGTGCGTCTTGTATGAATCGCAAGGAAGTCTTGAGCGATTGCGCGATTCTCAAGTAAGTCGTGAGAACTCCGCAGCGAGAGCGTGTTTCATGAGAGTCGAGGGCGCGGCGTTTGAATAACTTGCCAGGTGGTCCCACGCGGGAGCACGATTCCTGCAACAATTGTGAGGACGTCCCGCGCGAAAGCGCGATCTGGGAATAACGTGTGAGGAAATATCAGGCAGGAGCGAGCCACTGTTGTTGTAAACCGGGGGCCAGGGACCCAATCTGAGCCTCAAGCTTGCTCTCAGGTAAAAGACAGGGTGCGAGCCCCGGTAGGAGCATTCGACTTGAAAAAATGGAATGGTCGCCGGAGGAGGGGATCAACAATGATTACGTTTAAGAAGTGAGAGTTGCACGGCTCCCAGCTGATACTTCCTCGCAGTCTAGTCCGGATCGCGTTTTAGGGCGGGACGTCCTCACAACGCACATCGGAGTCGCGCTTCCGCGTGGAACTTCCCTTCAATTTGCTGAGACGTCGCGCCCTAGGCACTCAGGGATCGCGAATCACGCTCTCGCCCTGGACCTCCTTACGAGTTACGTGAGGATTGCCCTATCGCGCGAGACGTCCCCCTGCGATGCGGGCAGGACTGGCGCTCCAGCGAGCGAGCCGCCTGCCCGACCCGCCCATGAGGGCCCGCCCGCCTGACCCGCCCTGTCTGATTCTCCCGCTGGTTGTCCTGCTTCTAGCGTTTCGTCGGGCCCTTCCCTCTACAGGAGGAATCTTAAAACAGAGTCAAATGACTCACTGCGTGGAGCTCCCCACATGTGCATATATATATTCGCATGGACCTGTCCGCCGTGAGAGTCTAGGTGCAAGAGTTTTCGAATATAAGCGGGCTTGAGTTGTGACGGTCTGGTCATGAATATGACTTCGAACGGATTGGAGCGTGAATGAGCTTTGGTAGTACGAGCGAGTCTCTGCGCATGAGCTTGGGGCCGCCTAGGGCCTCCAGAAACCTTCTCGGCCTTCCTGGGGCCTCCAGGAGCCTCTTGGGGTCTCATGGGGCCTCTTGGGGCTTCGAGTGGCCTCCTGAGGCCTCCTGGAGCCTCACGTAGCCTCCTGGAGCCTCCTGGAGCCTCCTGGGACCTCCTAGGGAGGATTCGTGCCCCAGGAGAAGCCCGATATATAGGAACAGACGTGCATAAAACATTGCGGATTGGAGCCACAGGAGAAGGGCACTCTACAGGAGCACAGGTAAAACACCAAGGACTCGTGCCCCAGGGGGGGCCCAATCTATAGGAGCAGAAGTCAAACATCTAGGGTTGTATACACAGGAGAAGGACAACATATAGAAACATATGTATAACATCAAGGATTCGTGCTCCAGGTGAGGCCCAATATATAGGAGCATACGTAAAACACATGGGATTGGAGCCGCTCCCGTTGCCTTCTGAGGCCTCCTGCTCCTGGGGCCTCTCGGGGCCTCCTGTTGCCTGGGCTTCCTGGCGCTTCCTGTGGCTTCCTGGGGCCTCCTGTGGCTTCCTGAGGCCTCCTGGAGCTTCCTGGGGCCTCCTGGAGCCTCTTGGGACATCCTGTGGCCTCTTGAATCTTCCTGTGGCCTCCTGATGCCTGCTGGGACCTCATGTGGCCTCCTGGGGCCTCCTCAAGCCTGCTGGAGCCTCCTGTGGCATCCTGGGGAGAATATGTGCCCACGAGTCTGGCCACCAAAACAGGCAAACCGACTGAGACATCCTCAAAATCTGACCCCCCTGGGGGGCGAACATGAGCGCATCGCTCGAGACATCCTCCAAATCTGCTCCGAAAGCGGATGATGTTGGGGACCAAAACAGCAAACCGCTTGAGACATCCCCGCCATTTGGGCGCGAACGGAGGCCGTGCAATACCCCTGGCGGCCCCCCCTTAGGAGGCGCCTCGCACGAGACGTCCTCCAAATCTGCTCCGAAAGCGGATGATGTTGGGGACCGAAACAGGCAAACCGCCTAAGACATCCCCACCATTTGGGCGCGAACTGAGGCCGTGCAATACCCATGGCGGCCCCCCCTTAGGAGTGGTAAAAACCAGCAAGCCGCTCGAGACATCCTCATCATCTACTCATCGTCATCATCTTCATCTTCATCATCATCAGCAGCATCAGCATCATCATCATACTCATCCATCACTCACCATCACCAGCATACTCACATCATACTCTCACCATACTATGGTCATCATCATGGTATGGGTGGTCCGGCGCAGTCGGAGAATAACAAGAACCCCATCCTTTGGATATGGGGGAAAATAGTATGGGTACAATGTGTTAACTATGTTTGAATATGTGTTGGGCATGTTTGGGGTATTGTTTATGTTTCGTCCAAAAACCCCCTGTAGGGAGACAGGCCCGACTTGATCCTAGATCCTCTCCTGCTAGTCTTTCTTGTGCTCCATCCTTTTCCCTCCCCGTTGTCCCTCTTCCTTTCCTCCCCAGTTTTAGAGGCTGCGCCGACTACATGTGGCAGGTGAGGAGATGAATCCCAAAAGGAGGTACGATCGAAGAAGAGGAAGGCGAGCATCGAGGGTTTGGGAATTACATGTTGAATGACACGCTAGCAGATAAGAGCGAACAGTCGTCAAACGATTGATTATGCTGTTGCCGAATACCAATTACCACACATGCTGTCCGGTTGGCCCCCCTAATTCTGGCTTGGCGCTCTCGCCTCGGCGCTGGCTGCATTTCCTTTCACATTTAGGCTGACGCTTAACGTTTCGGGGGTGCGCCCAAACGGGCCCCCCAACAACAACAACGTTCCACTGCGACATTGCCTGACGATGTGTTATGAAGGGGCCTTGGCCAGAGAGGGCCCGAACCTCAGGAAGGATGCTCTCGCTTAAGCTCCCTTGCAATCTAGCAACACAAGAGGTCCTTCAGATCGGCATTCGGATGCCGGAACGGCCGTTTCGCTTGAGACATCTTTGCAAATTAGCACCACTGGGGGGTCATTCTTAACAAGGTTGCTGCTGCTGCTCGCGGATGCCAAAACGCCCATTTCGCTTGAGATTTCTTTGCGATTCAGCACCAGACGGGGGGGGTCCTTCAGAGCACTATTGCTCCTAATTGCTCGCGGATGCCAAAACGGCCGTTTCGCTTGAGATTTCACCGCAATGCAGCAGCATAAGGGAATCCGTCAGAGCAGTCTAAGCCGCTCTTGCGGAAGTCCCAGGAGGCCCCAGGACGCTCCAGGTATATGTGTTCGGTGTGCTTTGTTGGGCCCCTCCGCTCCCAGGAGGCCCCAGGAGGCATCAGCATTGGGATAGTGTTCGGGGAGTGTCTTTCGCCCCCTGGCAAGCCTCGCCCCAAGAAGCTTTGCCCCCACATGTTTCAACGCCCTTGTCCTGGGGTTCGAATCCTTTTTGAGATTCACGCATCCCCCCATGGAGTGCCCTTCTCCTGGAGCTCGAACCCTTGTATGTTTTACAGATATTCCAATCAACCGCCCCTCGACTGGTCTCGAACTTTCTAGTGATTTACATATGTTCCTATAGAGTGTCCCTTTCCTTGGGCTCGAGTCCTTGGTGTTTTACGTATGTTCCTATCGTTTGCACCTCTCCTCGGGCTCGAACCCTTCGTGTTGCGAATCCTCACCGCTCACCGAAGTCGCACTGATTTTTGTGTGTGTGTGTGTTGTGCGAGCTGAAAGTGGGAAAGTGCCTCGGAAGAGGTGTTGGCTCGACCTCCTCGGGCGGGAGATCTGGGTGTGGGAGTATCGCCCCGTTTCCACATAGTTCCCCCCAAGAGGTGGGGGGGCGCCGTGATGGACGCATGTGACATGTAAATCCATGGCGCATGGAGGTAAAGTGTTTTGCTGTTGTTGGCCATCGCTGGGTGCTCTCGTAATTCCCCACTCGCCCTGTTGGCCCCATGACAACCGCAGGGGGCTCGATCAGTGGTCCTGACGGCCTGCCTAACAGAATCGGGCCCGGATCAAGAGAACCTTCCAGGCCGTCTCCGCCGCGCCCACAATGGCCAAGCCCGCGTCGCCAGCCCAGTCGCCCAAGTCCTGCGGGCACGCGCTTCGACGACGACGACGACGTCGACGACGGCTGGGCGCGGAAGCAGGGAGGCGGGGTCGGGGGCGTGGAATGCGCCTGCGGTTGCGCAGGAGCCCGCGCAGGGTGGCGCGGCTGGGTGATGAGCTTCGCGGGGGAGACTGGGTTGAGGAGGAGGACCGTGGGGGAGGATCAGCACAGGGAGGAGAAGGAGGAGGAGGAGGAGGAGGAGGAGGAAGAGCAGGAGGAGGAAGAGCAGGAGGAGGAGGAAGAGCAGGAGGCGGAGGAGGAGGAGGAGGAGGAGGAAGAAGAGCAGGAGCAGGAGCAGGAGGAGGAGGAGGAGGAGGAGGAGGAGGAGGAGGAGGAGGAGGAGGAGGAGGGGGAGGAGAGGAGGAGCAGGAGGAGGAGGGAGGAGGAGGAGGAGGAGGAGGAGGGGGAGGAGGAGGAGGAGGAGGAGGAGGAGGAGGAGGGAGGAGGGAGGAGGGGCAGGAGGAAGAGGGTGGGCAGGCGTCTTTGGGAGGGCCGGGTGCGCGGCGCCGCGCGCCGCCGCCTGCGCCGGGGCAGGCCGAGGAGGAGCGGCTGTCGCGGCAGCTGGCGCGGAGCGGGGCGCGCTCCGACGAGCTGCGGCAGGCCGCCGCCGGCGCTCTCGGGGCGGCCGGCGCGGCCCCCCTCGCAGGGCTCATTGGTCGACCTTAGTGGGCCCTGGAAACGACAGGGCCGCTTTTTGTTACCGGTTCCGTTTTGCCGTTTTTTTTGCCGGTTCCGACGCCGTTTTTGTACCGGTTCCGTCGCCGTTTTTTGACCAGTTCCGGCTCCAGGTCCAATCCTGGAGCCGTTTTTTTTGCAGTTGTTGGTCGCCGTTTTTTTGCCGTTTCCATTTTCAAGGGACACATTTTCGGAAACTGTGAAAAAGCGGCCTTGCCGTTTCCGGGGCCCACTAAGTGTTCGACCCCTCCGATCCGACTGGACTCGATTTGGATGGTTTTTGCTTCCGGTCCGGTTCGACTTCGACGGCTGTCGATATATTACCAGCTCGGAACACATACCCCTGTCCCCATGTTTGGCATCACCTTACCTCGATGCCGATCTTAAGGCTTCCCTCAGTTTCTGAGGGCCTACATCGCCTTTGGCGTGCCCATCTTCGGGATAGGGATAAGTTCGAGGCATGTTAGATTGGGGCTCCGGTTTGTCAATGGAGGCCCACCAGGAAGCCCGATGCAACGGACGCGGCTGGCCCTGGCCTGCCGATTTCTGCCGATTTGACTCGTCCCGGCTCGGCTGCCGTTGTCCGCCGATCCGACTGTCGGGGGCGGCAAAGAGGAGGGTGATGACTAGGGGGGGGGGATCTCATGGCGGGGGCCATGATATCTCCCCGGATTTCATGGCGCCTCTTCCTATTTCATGACGTCCCTGGCCCCCCCGCTGGGCCGCGCACATGCCGCCAGCCATGATTTGCGCCCCCCCTATTGGACGCCCCCCTCTTGGCCGCTCCCGATCAAACGCAAGTTCGTCATGTTAATTGACGCGCGAAACGCGGCCCGCGGGGTCAGACTGTTGTGTTTGCAGTCCCCAGTTTCGTCGCGACCGTTGGGTCCTGGGGCGCCGCCACGTCGCGGGAAAAACTTGCGTCTGATTTTGAGGAAGGATCTATGAGTTTCGGAGTTCGTCGAACACGTGGAGAACCGAGCCCTACCCCCGCCTCCGACCGGTTCCGGGGAATCGATGATATTGGTGGGGGTACAGTCGGACCGAGGTATAATGTATGGTCGAATTGTTGGCATGTAGTTTCACCCCTGTGTGTTTTCAAACTTGATTGCAGCATGTTGGCATCCCGAATGCGAATGAAACACTTAGTTGTTCTCGCACCTTTTTCGGGATGACGCGTGTCACCCGTGTGTGCTTTCACAGCGCATGGTCGCATGTTGGCATCCAGAATACAAGCGAAACACTTGTTCTTTTCTCAGACGTTGTTCGGGATGGCACGTGTCACCCCTGTGTGTTTTACATTGTATGGTCGGACGCTGGCATTCAGATAACGAGTGAAATAAGTTGTTGTTCTTACACGGTTTTCGGGGTGATACGTGTCACCTTTGTGTGTTTTCACATTGTATGGTCGCATTGTGGCATCCATAAAAGAAGTGAAACAGTTAGGTGTTCTCACGCAGTCTTCGGGGTGGCACGTGTCACCCTTGTGTGTTTTCACACTGTATGGTCGCATGCTGACATCCAAAGTAGAAGTGAAACAATGAGGTGTTCTCACGCAGTCTTCGGGGTGACACGTGTCACCCCTGTGTGTTTTCACACTTCATGGTCGCATGTTGGCACCCAGAATGCGAATGAAACAATCAGATGTTCTCACACGGTTTTCGGGGTGACTCGTGTCACCCCTGTGTGTTTTCACATTTCATGGTCGCATGTTGGCATCCAGAAAACGAGTGAAACAACTTGTTTTTCTCACACGGATTTCGGGGTGACGCGTGTCACTTTTGTGTGTTTTTGCATTGTATGGTCGGACGCTGGCATCCATTATACGAGTGACGCAATTAGTTGTTCCCACACGTTCTTCGGGGTGACACGTGTCATCCTTGTGCGCTTTTACATTGTATGGTCGCATGTTGGCATCCACCGTGCGAGTGGAACAGTTCGTTGTTCTCACACGATGTTCGGGGTGGCACGTGGCACCCTTGTGTGCATTCAAACTGCATGGTCGCATGTTGACATCCAGAGCACGTACGAGTGAAACCATTAGTTTTCCTCAAACGGTGCTCGGGGTGGCACGTGTCACCCTTATGTGTTTTCTCATTGTATGGTCACATGCTGGTATCCGGAATACGCACGAGCGAGACATTTGTTTTTTCTCACGCGGTTGTCGGGGTGACACGTGTCACCCGTGTGTTCTTTCACACTGCATGTTGGCATCCAGAATGCGACTGACACAACTTGTTGTTCTCACACGGTTTTCGGGGTGGCACGTCTCACCCTTGCGTGTTTTCACATTGTATGGTCGCATGTTGGCATCCAGGATTCGAATGAAACGTTTAGTTTTCCGACACGGTTAACCCGGTGGCACGTGTCAGCCTTATGTGTTTTCACATTATATGGTCTCACGTTGGCTTCTGAGCATACGAGTGAAACGATTAGTTTTCCTCACACGGTTTTCGGGGTGACACGTGTCACCCCAGTTGTTCTCATACGGTTTTCGAGGTAGCACGTGTCACCCTGGTGTGCTTTCACATTGTATGGTCGCATGTTGGCATCCAGAGTACGAGTGAAACCATTAGTTTGGCTCACACGGTTTTCGGGGTGACACGTGTCACCCCAGTGTGTTTCCACATTGTATGGTCGCATGTTGGCATCAAGAGTATGAGTAAAACCATTAGTTGTCTCACACGGTTAACGGGTCGACACGTGTCACCTTTGTGTGTTTTCACATTGTGTGGTCGCATGTTGGAATTTGGAATGCGACTGAACCAATTACTGTTTCTCGCACGGTTCTCGGGGTGAAACGTGTCACCCTGGTGTGTGTTCAAATTCAATGTTCTCATGTTGGCATCTCGGGTACGAATGAAACAAGTTGTTGTTATCACATGGTTTCGGGGTGACACGTGTCACCCTTGTGTGTCTTCAAATTGTATGGCCGCATGTTGGCATCCAGAATACGAGTGAAACATTTAGTTTTTCTCCTACGACTTTCTGGGTGGCGCGTGTCACCCTTGTGCGCCTTCATATTTTATGATAGCATGCTGGCATCTGGTATATGAGAGAAGCTCCTTGTTTTCCCGACGCAGCTAACGGGGTGGCACGTGTCACCCTGGTGTGCTTTCACATTGTATGGTCGCATGTTTGCATCCAGAGTACGAGTGAAACAATTAGTCTTTCTCACACGGCTTTCGGGGTGGCATGTGTCACCCGTGTGTGTTTTCATGTTCGATGGTCGCAGGTTGGCATCCCGAATGCGAGTGGAGCACGTGTCACGTGTCAACCCTGCGTGGTTTCATATTGTATTGTCGCATGTTACAGCTTCTAGAATACGAGTGAAACACTTAGTTTTTTCTCACACGGATTTCGGGGTGGCACGTGTCACCTTCGTGTGGTTTCACATTGTATGGTCGCATGTTGGCATTTGAAATACGAGTGAAGCGATGTTCGGGGTGACACGTGTCACCTTTGTGTGTTTTCAGTTTGTATGGTCGCATGCCAGTATCCAGAAGAGTGAAACGATTAGTTGTTCTCACACGGTTTTCCGGGTGACACATTTCACCCCTGTGTGATTTCACATGTTATGAGGCTTTCTCGGGCCGATATGAGGGCGTTTTTGGGCGCTTTTGGGCCTCTCTTGGAGCCATCTTGGGGCCCCCTTGGGGCATCTTGGAGCCGTTTGGAGGCCTCAGAAGCCCATCGGAAGCGAAAAGGGGGGAGGGCCAAAAACATAGGTTTTCTTCAGGCTTTGGAATGATTTTGGCTTTCCGGGAGTCTTCTTGGGAGGCACTTTGGCCATTTGAAGCCGTCTTGGGGCGGTCTTGGGGCCTTTTGGAGGCATGTCGGGAGCCATGTTGAGCAATGGTGGGCTATATTAAGCGATCTTGGGGGCCATGTGGAGTTCCCTGAGGCCCTCTTGGAGCCATCCTGGTCCATCTTGGACGCTCCACCCCCTCGAAATCCCCCGTCCAGGTCCAGGGGAAGTGGGGGGGTAACCCTTCTCCGAAGGGGAAGAAGGGGGTTGGAAGATGATCTAAACCTTTCACGCCCTAAAGGGCTGGTGGGATTTAGAGTCAAACAGTATTCTAACATATCTGCTTCCTCGTCCTCGTCCTCCCTCATCCTCATTCCTCTTACTTCTCCTCCTCCTCCTCCTCCCCCTCCTCCTCCTCCTCCTCCTCCTCCTCCTCCTCCTCCTCCTCCTCCTCCTCCTCCTCCTCCTACCCCCTGCTTCATCCTTCGTTTCCCCCCAGTGTGCTCCGTCGCATACTGGCTCATATTATCTGCCACAGCAGGGTTGCTCCTGCGTCATCGCCCGCTTCGCTGCAGTAGTACTGTCGCTCCCTGATCTGGGGCCCGATCAGGGAGCCTGTCCAGGACCTGGGGCCCGATCAGGGAGCCGCTCCCGGATCTGGGGCCCGATCAGGGAGCCCGGATCTGGGTCCCAATCAGGGAGCCGTTCCCGGATGTGGGGCCCGATCAGGGAGCCGCTCCCGGATCTGGGGCCGGATCAGGAATCCCCTAGGAGTTGTGGACCCGCGAAACTTGCGCGACCTTGTCGACCTGTGGGACTTGAGGGAACTTGGGGAACTGCGGGACCTGGGCCCTGTGGGACTTGCGACACCTATGGGACTGGTGGGACCTGTGGGACCTGCGAGACTTGCGAGACTGGTGGGACCTGTGAGACCGGTGGGACCTGTGAGACGTGTGAGACCTGTGGGTCTTGGGGGACCCGTGAGACTTTAGGATTTGTGGGACTTTCCAGACCTGCGAGACCTGTGGTTCTGGGTGGACCTCGGGGACCTGTGAGACCTGCGCGACCTGTGGGGCCGGGGGGGCTTGTGGCGCTTGTGGTACTTTTGAAG